GTTACCAAATGCTCGCTGAAACGCACACACTCATCACGTTCTACTCCCTCCTCTCCAGATACGACCCTTTCAAGGTCACAGCATCCCCGGATTCCCCGACGCCTCTCACCTGGTAGTTGTCAATGGTCTGGTACTTATTCCCGCCAGGGTACAGAATTCCCGGCGCGGCGCTGACTGCAGAGCCCGAGTGCCCCGCAGCGCCGCCCAGCGGTGGGGGCAGGTTCTTGATGGCGTTGGAATTGAGAACCGAGTTCAAGGTGGCGCTCGCTCCCAGCAGAGGGTGGCCGCCGAGAGCCGCCGCTACCAGCGCAACCAAGACCCGGGCAGCTCCCGCTGCGCCCAGAGCCATCATCTCAGAAGGACTCAAGAGGGAGAAAGAGAAAATGACTGTCACTTTGCAAGCCTGGGTCCCCGCGAAACCGTGTCGGTGCGGCTGCACAGTCAGGGTTCCGGGAGCCCCCTGCGGTCCCAGAGTCCCGACTGCAGGGAGCACAGAGCTCTGAGCCGCCACCGCCACCGCGGCTGCCTTTATACCGCCGGCCCGGAGCATTCCGGCCCCTTGGGAGCGAGACAACAAAGCCGGGATGGGATTTCAAAGCGCTGGGAGGGGCTGGGAGGGGGTGTGTTTGTGTACATGAAGGGGGGGCTTTGACACTCTTCACCCACCGCCCTTGCTGGGTCGCTCGGCCCGCCCGGCTCACCTTCGGGGTGAGGGCGACCAGCGAGCATCAGAGCAGACGACTTTAATAAATGCAGGCGGCAGGAGGAACTCTGAGAACAGGGGTGCCCTTGCCTGGCGGTAAGGGTTGGATTATCCGGATCTGAAATACTTTTCAGAGCCGAGGGGGTGACACGCTCTGCAAAAGCACTTTTCGCCCCTCTCGCTTACGCCAACACTCGCTGACTGTGCACACAAGTCGTATTCAGTATTAAATACAAACCGATCTGTAATTCAGTGGCTCTAGCAAGACGCCTCTTTGCTCATTACTCATTAACCCTTTAAGAGTCGCAGCTTGTAGATCTGAGTTAGGTCCCTGGCTTTAAGGTCGTTCCGTTGCCCTCCTCCTCCCTCCCCCCGCCACTGCGATAAAAATGTGCAAAGAGGAGATTTGCACATCAAACGAGGGTAAGAAGGAAGAGGAGCTGATTCTCTTTTGATGGGAAGTTTAGAGAGGGAGGCGAGAGACTGGCGTTTAGAAATTAGATCAAGGTTGGAGTGGAGAGGGAAATGCCCGTCCGATAATCAAACTATTTAATGTTGTTCTTTGAATCAGGGCAGTCGCGGCAGTAGATGAACTTGATTAGGCAGACGAGTGAGATCAAAGTGGCCGGGGCCAAAGCGGACGGGGTCCAACGTGCCGGGTCAGTCGCCTTTCTCGGGTTCTGCCTTCTCAGTGGTGGGCTAATGCGGGGAGATAAGAAACCCTTAGGGCTTAGATCCCGACTTCCTCATTAGCAAACGGTTTCACAAGGCTTCCCAACGCAGTGTTTGCTCCCAAGTCAAACCTTGCACAGGACCACGCAATACACCTTCTAGGGAGATAAACTACGTGGAGGAGGAGAGCTGAAAGTGAATTAGACAGTGAATCTGACGTCATTGAAATTGCTGTGTAGATAGAATAAAGTAAGGCTGATATATAAGAATGGCATCATGCTTATAAATGGAAAGTCATCTATTTAATTCAACAAAAACACATTGGAAGCCTAGAGCCCTGGTACTGGGTGGCCCTCTGGGTTGTTGCCTCATTGTTTTAATGTTTAGGTGAGATGGGTGGTGGGGGAAAGGGCACAGTGAATACTAATATTTATGAGACAGAGTTCTCATTTTAGAGAATAAAGTTCTCTTTATTCTAATTACAGTAATAAAAGATGTAACAATAAAATTATAGAAATAAATATAAAAAATGTACATAATGCTTTTAAAGCAGGTTGATACTATAAGTGTCAGAAAATAAGCAACTGTTCTGTGAGTTTGGAAAAGGGAGATATGATTTAATAATCACTATTGAATAAAAAAGAGTAAGATATATTTGTTCCGTGCTCCTCTAAGCTGTATAGATTTAGGTTGTCTATAATGCTGACCTACTAAAGTCAGAACTGGGGCCACTACCAAGTAAAGCCAGTGAAGGTGTTAAAGTAACGAAATTCTCAACTTTAGTACGGGAAGGAGTAATTAAAACACAATTTGCCATGGTCTGTGTTGTAGTTCCTTTGGTCTCAAAGGTAATATTAAGAACATCATCTAAACAATTCTTGAATGGTGCCCTAGTTATACTGGCATCCCTCCCATCCCAAATTCCATCTGTCCAGGAAATTATCCTGTCAGGAATCAATGCGTTAAACACCTTCAGGGTACTAGAAAATCTGCAAGCTGTGTTAAGTTTGAATGATGTTGAAATGCAGAGAAAAATCCCCCTGCCAATTGCAAGGTTGAAAATGTTTCTTTTTAATCCTATTACCTGTTTAAATATTTAGAATCTAGAAATATATTTGTGCCCCACTTACGGCCAAACTCTTGCCTTTTTTACTGAAGAGATAGTACATGATTAATACATTTAATGAACTTAGTTCATTAAAAGCTTGGCTTCACAAAAAAATCCATTTCCTGGGGCAAAAGAAAAGAGTGGAACAATTTAATTAACAAAAGAATTCTGTTATAACAAAGAGGCCCGTTGCATAAATTCAACCTTGATCTCTGAACATAGGTCATAGGTCTATTATGTTTCAATATTCATTGAATCTGGACAGAATCGGTGGTATTGAGTTAGGAGAGCTAAACCAAGCACAGAGTTTCAAGAGTGGGCCAGCTTCTGCCTTCTTCATCTTTCACATTCCTGAAGTTGTCATGAATTTAATACGAAGAATGAGTTGGTCAATATCTGAGTTCGTACTTTGTGCTAAGTATTATACATAATCGAGTGATAAAAGATGAATTCTCATATAATCTGCCTTCAGATCATATAGTGGGCAGAAGAGAGGTAACCTCACAAAATATTCAGGTAAGAAATTATATGGGTGTTCCTCAGAGAGGGCTAAGAACACAGTAAACCAACCCTTTGTTCCAAATGGGGAAATATACTTTTTGAGTGGATTCTCCATTTGAAAATCCTTTCCAGGATGTGGTTTGCTCACTGGCAACAAGAGTGCAAGGTAGGTAAAGAGGTACAGTAAACCTCATTGTTTCATCAGCAGCTGGTTAATATTCAGTGAGTACCTGTTATTGGGAGCATATCTCAAAATATGAAAGGCAGATCTCTTGTCCTCAGAAAGCTTTCAGTCTGTGAGTAGTTGGGAAAACACAGTATACTTATATGGGGATGGAGGTAAACATTTTTCTAACATTGATTATATTTTGGCACATTCTTGGTCATGGGGAAATAAGAAAAAGGAGCAGGAACTGTGACCAACACCTGTCAGGAAAGAGAGAGAGAGTTCTGGTGATCGAGTCTTTCTTACAGCTGGGTGACAGAGGAGGCGGGCACCAGGGCAGGTGAATTTAGTTTATTAAACTGAGTTTATTTAGTCCTGTAGGGAACCCTGCCTCCTATTTGATTTGGTATAAATATTATCATAATTAATGCAACAAGTTTAATATTTTGTATTATATTTTTAAATAGGTGAAATATGCTTAACAGCGTGGAATTGAACCTCATAACTCAGGAACAGCATAATAACATATGTCTTCTTTATATTTTAAGTGCTGGATGCCAGGCATAGAATATTCCTCAACCTTTTCATCCATGAGGGAGACAGACAAATATACTCCAAAACACACCATGCTATTCACCGTTTTTCCATTTCTGTTATTTGTGACTGCTTAATTTTCTAATTTTATATATTTTTTTGAGACAGGATCTCCTTCTGTTGCTCAGGCTGGAGCACAGTGGGACAATCACAGCTAACTGCAGTCTTGACCTCCCAGGCTCAAGGAATTCTTCCACTTCACCCCCTCATCCCCCTACCCCATCCCACAGTAGCTGGGACTACAGTTAAATGCCACCGCACCTGGCTAATTTTTAACTTTTTTGTAGAAACGGGGTCTCAATTTGTTACCAGGCAGAGCTGGTCTTAAACTCTTGGGTACAAGCAGTCCTCCCACCTTGGTTTTCCTAAATTGCTGGAATTACAGGCATGAGTCATGGTGCCCAGTCTATGGCTGTATTTTGAATTCCCTCCTTTCTTTTTTACTACCTTTCCTATCTTACTTCTTTCCTACCTTACTTCTTTCCTTCTTTCTCTTGATTAAATCAAAAGAAGCAAATTTGTTGCTGTATAATTTTACTCTGCTTAGGAAAATACTACCTAAATATCATTCCTTATAGTGGGTGTTAACATTTTTGCTAGTGTCAATCTTGTATTTATAGCAGGATTCCTCCTTCCTGATGTTTTGTAAAAAATGCTGTGACTTTCTCATTGACTTTTAAAACAGTTTGGTCTTAATGTTCTTCATAATGTTAAAAGAACTTTTTGACCTGTGTTCCATGTTAACTCCCCTGAGAGCTGGATTTTCTGCACTCCTCAGTACAAACAGAAGGCAAGATTTGGCCGTGATTACGTTTATTCGAGCAGTGGAGATGGCCAGCCCAGATAAGTCAGGCCCCGTGGTAGCTTCCTAATCAAGTTCAGAAGATGTGTTTTACTGGAGCAGGACATTAAAAGCTAAGAGTCTGGAACCCAGAAACATTTAATTAAAACCCAGTGAAGATGGTGCCTAAACCAGATAGGTATCTGCCTACATCTTTTCTGAGGTCCTCACACTCAGAAAGGGCTGCAGTGTGTGGGTATGGGGAGCGCAATAGCCCCTTTGAGTCCCCTAAAGGATTTAACATCTCCAACCCTAAGGATAGGCCCGTGTCTGCAGAAAGCAGGATGTAGGGTCCCATGAAACAGTCTCCACATTTACAGAAACACAGTTTTCCTCCATGTCACTGGGTTCCTATTATTACCTCCTTAAAAGAGGTAATAAACTCTGGGCACAAGCGATCCTCCCACCTTGGTCTCCTAAACTGCTGGGATTACAGGCGTGAGCCACCGCTCCCAGTCTCCTGCTGTACTTTGCAGCTTTTCTCCCAGACTACGGCCAAGAAAGACGTCATGCCAAGGGGTCAGGAGGCTGGGGATGGAACTCTGTACAGTGGGTGCCAGCCGTTATCTGGCTCCTAAATATGGGAAAGCCATTTAACTTGTGGTGTGGTGCTGGCTCTTCTTTATAAAATGGGATGTAGGGGAGATGGAGAGGTTCCTTTTCGCTACGAAAGTCTCTCTTTCTCTTTGTTTTCTTTTTCTTTCAGCACTGCCAAGGGAAGGCCTTTTGTACTCAGGTTAAATAAGAACATCCTGCAAGGAGTCTGTTCTTTTATGCAGCCTAAGATCAAGTAACAATCACTCACATCGATATTGAGTATTCGATTTTGAGGACTGGTAGGTAAGTATTAAGTGCTGGAAACGAGGTGAATTACTTGAACCAGGCGACTTTCTAAAAAGGATGTGTGTGTGTGTGTGTGTGTGTGTGTGTGTGTAGAGAGAGAGGTGTGTGCGTGTGTGTAGAAACGTTGTTTTTCCCATCACAAAATTTATTGTACTATTTAAAGCTGATTTTTTTCAGCTATCACCGTGGTATTCTCAAACTAGTGAATTGCAAAGGACCTTAGGTGAAAAGTAGAAAGCAGGACTTGGAAAACACTTCAGTCTTGAGACGCAGAGTCCGTATGCTTAAGAAATGCTACAGAGTGGAAGACGTAGGCTATGAAATAGAACTATTAACTTCTGGCGGGGAAGTGAAGGAGGGATGTATAATTAATTCGTGCAAGGATTTTTCATCACCCTTAAATTACAAAAATAAAATAATTTTCAGAGGAGTCTAGGAGTCCGCGAGGGAACATACTTGAGGGGCAGACCTAGGGGCTCCTAAGCCCGAGTCCTTCCCCAAAGTCCCCGCCTCCAGCGCCGGCGCGTTTCCCAGCGCGCAGGCCTGGCGCCCCGCACCGCGCCGCGCGGCGAAGCCCCATTGTTCATGCGCTCCCGGGGCCAGCTGCTCACGGTGGCTGCACTTGGGTGTCACAACCCGTCGCCGGCATACAGTAGTGTAAAATGAAGCTTGTTTAAAGACTCTCTTTGATGAGCGAAGATCAAACGGCCTCGGGACCCCCGGTCTTAATCAGACTTGAGCCAGGATGGCATTTTCACAAATAGTCCGTTTGCTCGGCTTTGAGCAGACTTTGTGCTCAGCACTTTCATCCGGCTGCGGGGCGGGTAATCCCGGCTGAAGCCCCTTGCCTGGTCGCAAATCCATTCACACTACAGTGGCTGCTGTTGGTTTGCTGTGTCAGTTCATGGGCAAATAAATATAGGACCTTTCTGACTTAATTAGAGGCGGGTGAGGGGAAAAGCGACGGAGGGGAAGATTAAAGCTCCGAGGGACACCCGGCTCCGCTGTCTCTCTGGGGTCCGGAGGGAACGGGAGAAACCCGCTCTTCTGCTGCCTCCTGGTGGAATTTCCGTAGAAGTTCTTAGTAGGGAAGAGAAAAGCATGTATTAATCTTGTAGTTTATTCTTGAGAGTCATTCTCCAGGTCCAATTACTTGTATATTTTCTTAACTTCCTATGCTGCAGACTCTCTATAGTATTTTGTCTTTCTTAATATTCTACATAATGTTTTGTTGAAAGATTAAATCTACACATGGTAGAATTAAAATGATAAGGTATGGTAGTGTCACCACCATTTTCTTAAAAAAAAAAAAAAAAAAAAGCTGCTGAGGTCCGAGACTTAGGGTCTCATTAAATGTTTTAGTCTGATTGAAGTTGAAAGGCTCTATATTGCATTTCTGTATTAAAATGTCTGGGTCTCCAGGTTATTATGTTAATATATCAGGTTATAGAGAAATCCTAGGCCAAACAAATATTGAGAATGTTCAGACAGTATTTAGGGAGAATGAAAATATGACAGAATATTCTTTTTAAATTTATTTGGATAATAAAAATAATAATTTCATATTTACATTTTCAAAAGGAAAATAAAAACCAATATGCTTATGCAAAACAATAGTTATACTATTTAATAGTTTCATTTCATTTGAGTCAACATGTTGTACAAGGAGAAAAGGAACAGCAGGAAAATTAATAAAACAACATAGTGGAAGTGCAGCTTCTAACATAATATACGTAGCTGTTAAAATATATGTTAATGGCAATTAAGCATTTTGTTGATAGCCAATATTTTAAACTAGACCCAACTTTTTCTTCGATCTCATTTTTTTTTTTTTTTTTTTTGTAGAGATGGGGTTTTGCCATGTTGACCAGGCTGGTGTCAAACTCCCGACCTCAGGTGATCCACCCTACTCAGCCTCCCAAAGTGCTAGGATTACAGGCATGAGCCACCGCACCCAGCCCATTTATCATTATTTTTGAAGAGTTCTGGCAGAATAAAAAAAGTTATTCTATGTGTTTTTTTAATGATTTGTTTAAAAAAATTAAAAATCCTGCAAGGTGCTTAAGAGATGCCATCTCTAAACATTCAGTTAAATATGAATTGTGTACTCAATTTGTAGCTATTAGTTATATGCTAAGTAAATATTATTTTAGGATTACATTCTAAAATATATTTATAATAATGACTTTAAGAAGCAAATCGACCTCAATCAAAACCTCTCAAAATGTCATTAATGTATTCATTAAAGCTTGTCCACATTTCCTGATTGTGCTATTTTCTCCATCAGTATCTCCATTTTCTCATAATATTATTGCAGTCCAGCTGATTCTATTTACCACAAGAATCACATTCTTTAAAGTAAGCTCTAAGTTTAAATATGAAATGAAAAACGTTTTGCAAATACCAACAGCTTTGTGAATTCAGCAGAACCACAAACTTACTTAAAAGCTATGGAAGCACTGAAGCAGAGAGTAGAGTGGTGAATTAGCTTTTTATTAGAGGCATATCCTCCTACACCTTTTTGCTAATACCATTTACCAGTATCATTCGCATTGACTAAGAATTTTAGAAGGGAACTGTGGCTAGAGTTGTGAAGTCTAAAAACTTAAAATGCATGTTTTTTTTTGTTTGTTTGTTTTTGTTTTTTTTTGTATTTGGAGTTCCTGATTTGCAGGCAAAGTCCCCAACTTGTTTGAAAAATGACTTTGCTAGGGTTTGACAGCTGATATTAGAAAAATAAGTAAGTAAGTAAGTGGAACTTTCTTACAAATATGTAAGGAATAGGAGAAAAAATAACAGATTTCTTTCCTGTTTTTATGGGCATTGAAAGGCAAGTATTAGTCAATTAAAGGTGCTTTTTTTATCCTTAAAAATCTATTGAGGACAGGCATGATGGCTCGTGCCAATAATCACATGTTGTGAGGCTGACGCAGGAGGACTGCATGGGCCCAGGAGTTCAAAACCAACCTAGGCAACACAGTGAGTAAGGGAGACCTGTGGGGATCGCTCCTGTGTGAGGCCCCTAGGAAATGGGCCTCACCATACGGTAAACTTGAGCCCGGACACAGATCCCTGGTTGGGGGAGTCGAGCTGAGGGAAAGCAGGAATTGAGAGAGGGACTATGTTATTCTAAATAATTAATAGACATTATTTTATGGATATGAGGACTTGGGAGGCAATGTGTCCACTTTTGGCTTCTTATGGTTTATTGCTTGATTGTGTTCATTTTGGACCCTTGTTACCTTCATTGTAAAATATTAACTTTTAAGTATTTACACTTGGTAACTTACTTAACATAACTTACTGGGTGTAACTGTAACTTACTTACCATAGCTTACAGGGCTTGACTGTAATCTACTCACCTTGACCTATTGGGCGTAACCTACTTACTGGAAGTAACCTACTTACTGGGCGTAGCCTACTTACTGCGCTTAACTTACTTACTGGGTGTAACTTGCTTACTGTAACTTAAGTACGTTAATCTGGTGTAAACAACTTTAAATTCAGAAAAGTATATAATGAAACACATTGCAGAAATAAAATTGCTGCATGAGCATAGCGCATGTAGCCCTCCAGACCTCGCCTTTTCTATCTCCTTTTTTTCGGGTGCGCGCTCTCTTCCAGGTTTGGGACCCTCTTGCTGGACGAGATTCCTGGGCTCGCGTTCAGTTCATAACAAGTGAGACACCATCTCTACTAAAAATAAAAAATTAGCCGGATGTAGTGGCACACACCTGTAGTCTCAGCTACTTGGGAGGCTGAGGTGGGAGGATTACTTGTGCCCAGGAGGTGAAGGCTGTATAAGTTATGTTTGCATCACTGTACTTCAGCCTTGGTGAGAAAGTGAGATCCAATTTCTTAAAAAAAAAATCTAGGCTGGGCACAGTGGCTCACACCTGTATTCCCAGCAATTTGGGAGGCCGAGACGGGTAGAGTACCTGAGGTCAGGAGTTCGAGACCAGCTTGGCCAACATGGTGAAACCCGGTCTGTACTTAAAAAAAAAAAAAAAAAAAAAAAAAAAAAAAAAAAAGCTAGTCATGGTGGCTCATGCCTGTAATCCCAGCTACTTTGGAGGTGGAGGCAGGAGAATCACTTGAACCTGGGAGGAGGAGGTTGCAGTAGGCTGAGACTGCACCACTGCACTCCAGCCTGGGCAACAAAAACCAAACTCCATCTCAAAAAAAAAAAAAAAATCTATTAAGAACTCTGCAGTCTGTAATTTTTAATATAAATCCTGAAGTTCAGAGGCCTGAGAACCAATAAATCTGATGTGCAAAGGTAGGAGAAGATGGAGTCCTTGATCAAGAAGAGTTTTTTCCTTACCTGCTTTTTGTGCAGGGCCCCAGTGGACTGGATGATGCCTGCCCACATTGGAGAGGTCACGCGTTCTTTACTCAGTCTCATACTTCAAGTGCAGATCTTTTCTGGAAAAACCCTTTAGAGACACACCCAGGAATACTGTTTATCAGCTATGTGGGTATCCCTGAACTAAATGAAGTTAACATACAAAATTAATCATCAGAGGCAATTTCACCTGAAAACTGTGACTCCACTGACTGTGGAGGTCGAAAGATGAGCTCAAAATTATATAGTACTTCCACCATAGATTCCCTTTTTTTTTTTTTTTTAATAGAGGCAAGAGTCTTGCTCTGTCACCCAGGCTTCAGTGTAGTGTTATAGTCATAGCTTACTTCACCCTCAAACTCCTGGACTCAAGTGTTTCACTTGCCCCAGTCTCACAAAGCACTGGAATTACAAGCCTAGCTAGAACTACAGATGCATATCACCAGGCCCAGATAATGAAAAAAAGACTTTTTTTAAAAAAGAGAAAGGATCTCACTATGTTGCCTAGGCTAGCCTTGAACTCCTGACCTCAAGTGATCCTCCAGCATCAGCCTCCCAAAGCACTGGGATTACAGGTATGAACCACTGCACTAAGCCCCATACAGTTATAATTGATATAAGTAATTTTAATAACTTTTGCAATAGTGCAATGAAGTAATATATTTAGGGAGTAATAAGTTTTAAGTATTTATATATTTTGAGTATTTAAATATTTTATATTATTTATGTAACATTTATACACTCTTACTTTAATATACTTTAATTGTAAGTTTATGTCATTTAATTTTTAAAAATCATAGTCCTTGAATAGTGACTTCTATATATAGCCTTTGTCCCAGGTGGCCATTAAGCCAAAGTGCAACTTCAGCGGACTCAAGAAATGTTCTCAGAGCAAATAAAGTTTTAGTGGCCCACTTTCACAGTTTCTACTTTCCCTTAGATTTTGACTTGGTTTTTTTCTTAGTATATTGTCAACTTTTGAGATTTTTAAGAGAGAGAGGGGTATAACACACACACACAGACACACACACACAGACACACACACACACAGAATAGCATTTTAAAGTTTCAGTAAGAGGGTTGATTCAAATAACCTAATCTGCCATTTCTCCCAAAATAAAAGTTTATCACTTAAAAAATTATATAAATGTTGTCATACTGTATTATTATGCAGTTTTTTCATTCAGCATTGTTTATGAAACATATCCATGTTAAATTTAACTAATACATTTATATTCACTTTCATATAATATTCTATTAGTTGAATACACCAGATTTAATGGTCTATTATTTAGGTGATGGACAGTTTGACTTTGAAGTTTTATACTATTTCAAAATTCTTCTGAGGATATGCTTTTATATATATATATATCTCATAATTATTATGTATGAACTTTTTTATAAGAAATATACCAATAAATAGAAGTGTTCAGTTATAGGATAAAGACATTTTCAACTTTGTTAAATATTGAAAAATTATTCTTTCATGTTGTAAAAATTCCCATTTTTACCCAGCAGTATATACACAAATTTGACATTGCTCTGCATGCTAACCAACACTGTGCTACTTTTAAACTTTAATTTGCAAATCTGATGAATGAAAATAGTTTATTTTTATTTTTAAATTTATAGTTCCTGGTAATGAAGTGGAGTATATGTCCATATATTTCTGTTTTCTGGATGAAAAGACTAACCTAATGAATTAATCTAGTATAACCTTTACATATAAACCAGATGAGGATAACTCAAGAAAGGGGAATTTTAGGCTACTCTCTTGAGATCATAGATAGAAAAGTCTGAAATATAATATTGGAGGCCAAGGTGGGAGGATCACTTGAAGCCAGGAGTTTGAGACTAGACTAGACTGTGCAATATAGCAAGACCCAATCATATATATATATATATATATGAAATTGGCTGTGTGTGATGTGTGCCTATAGTCCCAGCTACTCAGATGGCTGAGACAGGAGGATCACTTGAGTCCAGGAGTTTGAGGCTGCAGTAAGTTAGGCTGGTGCCACTGCACGAGAGCCTGGGTGACAGTGAGACCCTGTCTCTAAAATAAATAAATAAATAAAATATAACATTGGCAAATCTAAAACATCAGTATATTCAAAATGCATGTGACGACAAAGTTGAATTCGTGTCAAGGAAGCATGGCTGGTTTATCATTAGAGCTGTTATACATCTTACGCCAAGTTGACCACAATAACAAGATTAAAAAAAGTTACATGATCATCTTAATATATGCTGAAAAAGAATTTTGATTTTTTAAAAAGGTCGATAAACTAAGAACTCTCTTAATATGATCATGGGCATGTGTGTAAAACCTATATCAAACATCTAATGATGAAATTTAAAATCAGAAAAAAGGCAAAGATGCCAACTGTAATTTTAATATTATACATTTACTTGGGGTCCTAGCCATCCCATTACTTCAAGAAAAAATTTTACCAATTAGAACTATAAAGAGTTAAATCCAACATTTCATTATTCAGAGACAACAATATTATATTTAGAAATAACCCAAAGATAGATGTAGACACTAATTAGTAAAATTTCAGCAAGGACAGTGAACATAAGAGCACTATACACGAAACTGGCCTGGCACCGTGCCTCACACCTGTAATTCCAGCACTTTGGGAGCCTAAGGTGGATGGATCATGTGAGCCCAGGGGTTTGAGACCAGCCTGGCCAACATTGTGAAACTCTGTCTCTACTAAAGATACAAAAATTAGCCAGGCATGGTGGTGGATGCCTGTAAGTCCCAGCTACACAGGAGGCCAAGGCCAGAAGATCACTTGAACTCAGGAGGCAGAGGTTGCAGTGAGGTGACATAGCGCCACTGCAGTCCAACCTAGGCAACAGAGTGAGACTACGTCTCAAAAAAACTGTTCTTTTAATAGCAACCCAATATGTATATAAATTATATTAGAAATGCTTTTGAAAACATTCTATAAACTCTAAATAATGCTCACGAGTGGAAAAAGTTAAAATCATAAGGTTATCATCATTTCTCCCATTAATTTATAAATTAAAAATAATTGTAAACAAAATCCTAAAGGTGTTTTCATGAAAGTTGAACATATGGTTTTAATATTTATGTAGAATAAAAGGACTTTAATGTTCCAAAACAATTCTGAAGACAAAAAGCCAGGGGGATAGAGGGAGGGAGGGCAGTGGGTACCCCATAAAATATAACTAACATTTATTAAACATGTTAATTGAACCAGTTTAATAGTACTGTATAGAGTGGCAAATATGCCAATGGAATATTAAATACATTATTTATATAGACGTGTATACATGTGTATATATACATATGCACACATATGTGTATATATATACATGTATATATACACATATATACACATGTCTATATAAATATATTATTATAATTTAATATGTATTTAATATTCCATTGGTGTGTGTATATATATATATATATATATATATATACACACATAAACAGATACGGGTGGTTTAACACTAGAATATGTTAAACTGATATGTAAAACAAATAATATCGTAACCTTTCTGGCTGAATCAGAATTAGAAATCTGGAACCTGTGGAGCCTACTCCCTGTATATCCCCTCTTCTTAACCCAGGTACTTCGCTCCCTCTCCATCCTGGTAGACTGTGAGACATACTTCAGTGTCCTGAAGCTCTATGGAGAATTGAACTTGAAAATCATCAGCTCATTGCAAACTTTTTCTTTTTGATCAGAGATTGACAACCTTTTCTGGGAAGGGCCAGATAGTAAGTACTTTAGGTTTTAACTGCCATGTAGCCTCTCGCTTACTACTCAAGTTCTGATGTAAGATGAAAACAGCTTTAGACAATATGTTTGTGCCAATAAAACTTTAGTTTAAAAAACAGGCTGTGAGCCAAATTTGGCTCATGTATCATAGTTTGCCAACCCCTGGAAGGAGGTTGTAAGTGAAGGAAGTAAAAAGCGTATAGTTTTATTACCAAAATAACTTTAATAATCTTCTTATGGGAAAAAAAAAACCAAGGCCCTAAGTAATTCACTTCAATTTACATAGTAATTTGTGGCACATGTAATTTAGCAAAGGGATACACTGAGGACATTTAGAATTATAGTTAAGATAGTATTTTGTTCCAATTCTAATCTGCTTTGATTGTAAAAACTCTCCACTCTCATCTCTTTCCAGGAATCTTGAAGAATCATGTTCTTCGTAGGAATTATAAATCCCCCAATTCCATGTCTAACATAATTTCTACTGCCCTCGTTGCTTCTCATGCTTTAGTACCAGTGCTTCTGAATTTGAAAGTCTTCACACAAATCACCCAAGTAAAATCATTGCACCAATTTTAGATGGTCTGGGCTCTTAAAATGTTTCCTTCCATTACTCTTTTAAAATGTATCTTTGCTATGTCAGGTTTGAGGTAGTTTCTGTCAGAAGATTGGGCATTTGGGGGAATTCAAGTCTTCACTGCAAGTTTTACTGCCTGTGACTCAGGGTCTAGGGATTTATTCTGTTATTTTCTGCCTGTTATTTTCTACAGTGGTAAATCACCTTGCAGAGGCTAGGGCAGGTCTTATCTTTCATGTGTGACAGTTGTATTAGTTGGAATAGGTGAAATCCTGTTGAAAAAGACAAAGCCAAAATCTTAGTTGTTCAAAACAGCAATATATTCCAATGTAAAGCCTTTGGGAGTTGGTGAGGGCTCCACTCCTCATCACTGCCCTTATTCTGCTTCTGAAGCTGACAGGACAGCCACTGTTGAGGAAATGCTGATCACAACATCACACAGAAAGGAGAATGTAATGAAGCAAGAACCGGCTCTTAAAGCTTCTGCTTGCAGTGACAAGGCTCACTTTTCAATGGCCAAAGCAAGTCAAAAAGCCAAATCTGACTTGCATGGCACAGAAAAGTCCCCCAGGGAGAGAAATCAGATGAACTGTGGCCAAAATCCGGCTGAGCCAGAAGCTAAGGTCACCAGTCTCATTTACCCCCAGAGGACAAAGAGTCCTCAGGCAAATTAACTGCTAGTATCCTGCCCTGATGTAGCAGATACCAGAGGTGGATACATATATATATATATTTGGCTTTGTAAATCAAGATGTGGGTCTATTCCTTAACAAAAAGTAGCTTATTATTAATATGCCATTTTAATATGTTAATTGAAAGGACACTTCTATGGGTGGAGTATAAATACCATTTAATATTTCTGAGAGCATTTATAGGCTTTAGATGTCCATGATTCTTTACAGACTTTTTTTTCCTGTTTTCTTCTTTTACCCTACTATTCCTGAAATGTTTCTCCATGAATGTTCTTCTGCTGCTTCTCTCTCATAGAGATGTATATTTCCATCAAAATACACTAAGGTGCTGGTTAAAAATTCAGAATCCTGGGTTATATCTCAAAATTCTTTGGATTATCCTGGAAACCTATGTTTTTATATTATTTCCCAGATATATCTTATGACACTAATGTTTGAAAAACACTGGCTTAGATCCTATGCCTTGAGCTTGTCCATGAATTTTATAAAATCTGTGGCCACACTTTGGGGTTGTCAGTGATGCCTCATTCTCCTTTTTTTTCTTTCTAAACTTTGTTTTGCACAAGTTTGAGGGTTAACCTGTTTGGCTTTGCTAACGAGCATGTAGATAGATTTGTCTTTTGCTCCATAGACTCACCTTGGATGAAAAACAGCTGCCAGAGATAAATATTACTGTTTTATCAATTTATAGGATTTTTTGAGTTAGAAAGGAGAGATTTGCAGACACAGGGGAAAACTCTCAATAAGACTCAATAAAAAAAGCATCAGTGTGAAATTAACTGGGCATGGTGATGTGCACTTGTAGTCCTAGATACTTGGGAGGCCAAGGCGGGAAGATTGCTTGAGCCCAGAAAGTCAAGGCTGCAGTTAGCTGAGATTGTGCCATTGCACTCCAGCCTGGGTGACAGAGTGAGGCCCTGTCTCAAATACCACCCCCACACATGAAAGAAACAATGTGGTGGCCTGTATTATAAGCATGACACACAAGGCTATAACTAAGAATCTAAAGGTAGGTCTGTGGTATAGCACTGTAATATTTGCACTTGGGTATCATTTGGTTGATCACACAATCAATCCATTTATCTCAACTTTATAATTCATTCCTATGGTTATACTTGAAAAATTGCATGCTGATTTATTTCCATTGAAATTAGTATGCACAAGATGTGAGTGATGTAGATGCAACATCATCACCGTCACTGACGCCCCCTCTCCTACCATCCTTCTAATGCTTATGAGTGTTGATCTGTGTGCTCCTCCCAAAACTGAGTGATTAGTGCCCAAACAAAAACAAAAACAAAAATCTTTCAGGATTAAGGAAAAACATTCTCAGATTAAGGGTATGAAAAAATCATAGGACAGATGTTAAAAGCGTGTAATACAGTTCTATTTGCAGAAGAAATGAAATTACTGGATATGCAGTCATGACATAGTTTTTTTTTCAAGTGGTTTAATTGGCTTTGTTTGAAAAAGTTAACTGGACTGAATTTCTACTCTTCATCAAACAAGAGTTTTCAACTCACTGTCACTGGCAATATGAGCTCAAAAAGACAAAAACAGTACAGTTGAGAGAATCTTTATACTTCAGCCAGTTTTAATGTGTGCATCATTTACTGCAGAGAAGAACAAAGAGATGTAGAAAGAATATGTTTAATCAGGCTTTGGAGAGTTGAATTTGTTGTAATCATATTGCCCCTAAAATCTTTCTTCTTTGTGCATATGATGGAGCAAAATAATCAGGTGAAAAATCCTTAGACAAATACTCATGGAGTTGCTCTTTATGTGAAATCATTTCCTCTTAGCATGCAGTAATATACAAGAATTGTCCCTTTAATAGTTTTCCCTAATACAGAGTTGGACTAGGGATAGCCCAGAAAAGGCCTGTGTGGTGGTGGTGCACAGCAATCTGCTAATTTCTGAGTTTGTGTGAATATCTATACTCACTTTGTATTTCACACTGGATGGCCCAACATTATTCTTATGAATTCTTTACAACTGTTTTGCTGGATTAGTTTCATGTTAGATTATATTATTTCATGAAGAATTATTGGATTATAAGTGTTTTATACTTTGTTATAGTGACATTCTACAACCTGGTATTTCATCTAGTGTGATATACCAATTATATTCTTGGAATCTTATCTGGAATTAAACATCAACTAAGTTCAAAAGTAATTATTTTTTATTTCAACTCTATAAAGTATACAACAGGCACTCAGCAATTACAGCTGCAGGAAAAATACAGAGCAAATAAAAGCAGGATAAGTTTATGAAAAAGTTTTTAATCTACATCAAAAGAGTGCAAGTGGTCAATGACCATTGGATGACAGTTTGTTGCATTCTGACTAACAAAGAACTCTTTCATGTAGAACAGATTGTAAGAGGACAATCAAATAACCATAGCTGTAAGAATACAAAAGAACTGACCAGTTGTAAAAACATCATACATTGAAATAAATTTGATAGATGACTCTTAAAGAAATGTCCCTTTACTCAGAAAGCCCCAACTTCTGAGTCATTGCCAAGGTCCCAGAGCTCTGTCTGTTGACGCAGGGGCAGAGAGGAGGGCTAACAACACACTTTCAATGTTTTGCTTTCTAGGTCTGTTGAAAACTTGCCTCATAAATGATTTGCATATACAAGAACTCAGAGAAAGCATCCTGTTTTGTTGAGAGGTGCACCAAGTGTCTTTTTCATCATTGGTTTCATAACAAGGTGTGGTTAGCAGTCATTTCCAATTTTTCTTTTGGGTTGGACCATTGTCAATGGAGTCTATAAAATGAGATATGTTAGAACTTGACTGCACTAATTTACTTTTACAGAATCTGCACAACTTAGCAAAACAGGAATACCTGTATACAGACTGATAGTATGTCATATATTAATTTGACCCGCACATACATTTATACATTTCACAGAAATGACGCTGTATCTCATTAACAGATACACAGCTCTGGTACATTTAACAGAAATAAGAGAACAACTTCATCATTTCTGTAATTCATCAATATTATATAATAAAGGCTTATAAATTGTTAGCAGAAAGAACTGTAAAACGCAGCAAGCTAAGAAAGGACAACATTTTGAGGTGTGTTTGTCTTTGTCATGCAGCATAACACCAAATTTGTTTTTTTAATAGGATGCCATGAATTTAAGGCACTTGCAACAATGCCAGATAGCCAGGTCATGTGCTAAACTATGGACAGATGAATAACAGTACAGTTGACATAATTTTCAATAATACTGACAATTATGACATTAATTCAAGTCTACTTGGACCTAAAACATTATTCAGTACAAATAAAATGAAATAATAATGCTGTGAAACACTAAAAAAAGTTATATGTACCACAAAATATCACACAAAAATATCTATTTACATAATATTTGTCTGTGGTCCTATTGTGAAAGAAAATGTTATGGATAATGCACAGATCACTTCTATTGTGTGAAATCAGTTCTAATATCCTTGTTTCCAGTATGGTAGCTGACTTCATTAAATTTGTTTACCATCAGTTCAGTCGTTTAAAAATCAAACAGGAAAAATTCAATAGTTAAGTTGATATATTATTACACATGTGTAATTCACATGCATATTCCACAATTTTAGGTAACAAGTATTACTTGTAAAGAATATAATCAAAATAAATTTGTTTTGAATGCCATATGGATCTGATTCATATCTTGGTAAGAAAGAAGATACAAACATAAAAATCATGTATAGCATTATTTCAGAAATTATTTTTTCGAATGTATTCAATCTACCTCAGTTATTTTCATGTTGCTTGCCTTGACAATTTCAGTTTTCCTGTGAGTCAAAGACACACAGAAAGCCCTTATTTCCCATACTCAACACATTAACAAGAAAATCATTTAACAAATCAAACAAGTTGGCTCTATTCTAACTTATCCAGATGTTCTTTAGTGTAAGAAAATAGAGGGGTTATGAAAAATTCAGAAATAAAGGGAGATGCACTTTATGGAACTGACCATGAATTTTAGCCCTAGAGTCTTCATTAAGACAAGATTTATATCCTAAAAATTCAATGCTGAAAATCAGATGAATGTTTTCTGTTGGTACATTGTGGAAAATGTAGTTTACCTTTGTTTTGTGGTGATTGCTTCAGACACCTAATGCAATGCTATGGGTGAAATGAACAAAGATGCAGTAACAAGTGGGAAAACAGTCTACAGTTACATTGTGCTGAATGCTACTTCTTCCTTCTCCACTGAACTTATTTATATTGGTTGTCTTAGACTTGAACCATAGTTCCAAAATCCACAATAAGTGCTAATCTTTGGGACTTTGGGGATTTTTGAAAAGTTGCAGAAGCAGAGTCTTTCCAAATAACAAGGTAAATTCAATATCCTAGCAAGTCTTTAGCATGCCTAAGCCACATTATCTTTCAACAAAAATTACTGAACATTGACTATAATGTTGGAATTATGTATGTCAAAAAGGCCAATTAAAAAAATATAAAACTGTAATAACATACATTGCTGGATTTTAGGTTATATTTAGTTTTATATTCTAAAATATGTAGAAAACAGTGGATATCTTGGGAAATAGACTAATTTGGAGAAATTATAAGGGAGGGAAAACTCCAGAAAAACAAGAATAACAATAACATTTAGGATTGAAGTTTTAATTGAAGTTTATTCCCTTTTCATTTTATCCTCCACATTTTTAAGAATATTATATTTTCATAAGATATCATATTCTAAGGTAGTTTTGGGTTTGAAAAATCAAACAAAATTTATAATATATGCCCTCTTAGTTAAGGTATAGTGATCTAATTGGACTTATTCTTGCAGAAGTGTTGACATTTGATTGATTAAAAAGAAACCTCTACTGAGAAAAGAGCAAGCCTCAATTTAATATACCAAATTCACACACTGTGCCAAAACAGAATGACAGCTTTAAATGTTTTATATTTTTCCTCATAGGTATAATGCAGTTTTGTCCAGGAAGAGCTTCCAAATGGCTGAGTTACTTATTAAAGCTAATAATAATCAACCGGCCTGCCAGGGATGGACTCAGTTTAATTTGCAGATTCTTTTCTCCACGTGAATAAAGTAAATTAGTTTGACATTTTCAAATCTAGTTTGTTCTAGGTAGTGTGAAATCATAGAACTGTAGTAATTCTGTCCTACTTAAAATTTATTTTTTTAAAAATCAGGTTCCTGTTTTCCTCTGTACTGCTTTCTTACTTGGAGAAGTGGGTGGACTCAGCCTATTCACAAAAAGGTAATCAGCACCTGGCCAGGTTTTTGTTTTGTTCTCTGACCTCACAGAAGTGACGTTCCTGGCTTGGTAAAGCTGTAAATCTTAATAACTTTGACTTTGGGCTTTCTTTTTTTGTCTTTCCTACTTCTTTTATTTTTGTTTTTCCTTCTTGTTTTATTTTTTTTTAATTTTTTGTTTGTTTGTTTTTGGTTCAGGCCTAAGACAAAAAGCTAGTTCAAATAGGTTTATAATCACCGTTGTCTCTCAACTCCAGACTGACAATGTTGTATGAGTGAAATTGGACAGGAGTTTGGTTTAATAACTTCAGTGAAAATGCTTGAGTTTCTGGCTACACATATAATGATTTGAATTTGTGTTGTCTGTTCAGACACTGACATTTACAGATGAAAGATATACATAGCACCTATATAGCTTTTATTTATTTTTTGGATGGGTTTTAATCCCTCCCCTGTCCACCCCACCCCGAGGGGTTATTTTTATAAAAGGGAATACTTTAAGCCTCAGTTTGAGGGTATGTTAGGTAAAACCAATTGGCTGCTAGTCATTTACTTCCAGGACCATTTTTAAGCACAGTATTTTTAAAAATATGAAATGGTTTTGTGAACTGCTTTTTTTCCCCACTCTGTCATGCCAATTTATCAAAAAAAAAAAAAAAAACCCAAATATCATGCATTGTTTTTCAGTCCTCTGTGAAAACGCATATGTACCTACTATGAGAGGTCTCAGCAGAATCTATAGCAGTTGTGCTTTTATCATATCAATTTTTAAATTCTGTCAGAAAGAAAGGGTAACATTCAGTCTTGTCATCAGCACTGCTGGGAAATAAAATCATGAAACTTCTAGCACTAGTGTGACATGAGCTCTGTGACCAACAGATGTGTGGTCCTCTTTTGAATGGTATATACACCGGCCTGCAGTAATAGATCCCACAGCCTTCACTTGAAGAAAGGGAATAGCCTAGTTTCTGTACCATAGTAATCTATCGTACCCAATATATTATTCTTTCATCTTCTTGAATATTCTACCAAGGTACAGACTCTTCTACTAGATTGAAGTGTTTCCTACGTCTTTCAAATTATAATCAGAGCAAAGCAAGGTCATTGCAACAATAGAAAACATCTCTTTACTGGTGAAAGGCTTTGCTTCAGGACCACCATGTCAACTGCTATTTTAGGTTCGAACAGAAAACATGTAAAGAGCACTATTGTCATCTAAGCAAAAGTCCTAATGCCACTGTAGTTACCGGAGCAGCATCGATCAAAGGCATCATGGTGACCCCGAGCACTAATCTTCTCTCTTTCCTTCAGGTTTGCTGGCAGCTGTGTCTCAGAAAAAGCTGTCTTCAGCAAGGCAGAAGCAGGTAAGAGAAATACATTAGAAGTCTATGTCCCATCCTGAGTTGTCATCAGGTGGTGGTTCATCGTTGTCCTCAGGGAAACTGTCAAAATTGCTTGTGTCTGTGGGTGATGCAACCTGTAAATAGGAGAGAATGCACTTTGTGTGTGTGTGTGTGGAATTGCTGGAATTTTTAAGCACATCCTGTATTTATTCCCTATTAGTGACTACTTTTTTGAGTGCTTACTATGTAGCAGGTATTGAGGGTCTCAGTGGTGAGTACAAATAGACATGGTTTTTATCCTCACAGAGTTTATACCCATGGTAAGTAATACATTGTATGATTAAAACAAATAATCACAAAATCTATATATAATTCAAAAATCTATATACAATGAAAAATAATTACAAAAATCTTTCTATATAATAAACTTTGGCTAGAGCTATGAAAAGAAAAAGAGATGCCATGAAAGTATACAAGTGATCATGTAGGACAGGTGCAGTGGTTCATGCCTATAATCTCAACACTTGGGAGGACAAGGCAGGGAGACCACCTGAGGTCAGGAGTTCGAGATGAGCCTGGCCAACACATTGAAACCCTGTCTGTAATGCTTTTTTTTGGTCTATAAACAAACAAATATTAGAATAGAAATAAATCTTAGAAGAAGGGAAAATAGAGCCAAGTTCATGGTGTGCACCTGTGGTCCCAGCTACTCAGGAGGCTGAGTCAAGAGAATTGCTTGAACCCAGGAGTTTGAGGCTATCCTGGATCCTGGGCAACATAGCAAGACCCAATCTCAAAAGAAAAATGGAATAGAGAAAATGTTTCTGTGCAAATAGCAGTCTTGCAATAGTCCTAGAGAGAGGAAACACAAATGAAAGTCCCAGGACCACAAAGTAGTCCTCTCCCCCGTAATAAAGATGCTGCACATTTTATTAGCTAGATGCAATACTGAGTAAAAATATAAATGCAATCTGCTGAAATCTATTTTAAATTAATATAGTATAAACAGTGAATTTAGTAGACTATTTAACAAAAAACTTGATTTTTTTTAAAAAAAGAGAGTCAAGAAAAAAGAACTACTTTTTACTTTAGAACCTGAAGGAAGGATAAAAACACACCATTGTGCCTGAGTATGCTTCCATGTAACATGGGGAGGGCAGGAGGGAGTTATGTGAAGACATACATGAAACAACATTGGTCCAAAACTGATAGCTGCTGAAACTGGTTGCTGTAAACTCACTATAAACTTTTGTCTCAGTTTTTAGATTTTAAACATTTTCGATACTAAAAATTAACATGTTCATAAATGAAGGAAATTTGAATTAAAATGAAGAGTTAAAAAAAATAAGAGCAAAACATATTTACAGTGACTATCCCCAAATGTATCTGCTTTTAAGCTTGGATTTTAGAATGTCATTATTTCAATGTGACATTTTTCCTATAGTTTGTTTAACCTTATAACAGGATGAAACTTTAAAGATAACAGATCATTGTTGACTGACATAAACACCACCAAGCGTCTCATACAATTATAAGCTGTAAAATCTACTTACACTTGGTATTATAGGAGGTGTCAAGGTACCTTTTCTTAAGCCTTCCCAATTAAAGCCCTCAAACCATCTAGAAAAGGAAAAAATGTTGATAGTTAAAGATGTTATATGTCAGCTAAAATCTTCTAATTGCAATGTATACAATGTCCATGGCTAATGGAAAGCAGTTAGGCAAACGTTTTCATGAGACAAAATGTTTTCTATTTAATTGCATATCTTTTCCAATTAGCTTATTTTGTGAAATGCATACTTTTAAAGTATATCTGTCCAATTTTAAATACCAGTTAAACATGAAACTATTTTTCCTTGTAATTCAGTCATAATGTCTCTAATGACCTTGTTCCTATACTATAATTATAATTTAATAAATGTCATAATATGTCTGGCCCTGTGCTTTACAGGGTATTTTATTTTAAGGAGATAGAACAAGGGCACGAAAAGTCAGGATAGAAAATGAACTTTCCATTTTTGCCACTGACTCAGTGCACAGCCTCAGCTAGTTAACCTTTTCATTTCACATCATTGTAGTGGTCTCTACATGTTCCATTTTCCTCCTTTCTTCCCTTTTTAAATGAAGAATAAAGGTATTTTGTGTACAGTTTTTTCTGTGAAATACAGACCAAAAAACACTAATGTTTTTGCCTGTTTGTTTTCTTTTGTCTTTGAAAGGTTTCACCATTAGCAAATGCTTACAAGAAATTCTTAGCAGGCCTTTCAGATATTCATAGATATTTAGTAAACATGTTTCTTTGATAAGGATGTGAATTTTCTGTCAGTGTTACACAAATAGAGAAAAACCAAGTAGTTTAACTTTAGAGCATCCAGTCAATATAGGAAAGGTCTGATATTTAAGATGTTGCTATTGGTTAAAAACACTGTATTCTGCTGTTATGACATCTAGTTGGGAAATGCTTAGAAAAATATATTTTGTGTTTAGGAAATCAGGTACAATAACAGTAGGGGACTTTTGTTTGTAATACTGTGGTAGAGAATAGAATCTCCAAATTTAAAATACACATTTCTTCTTTGTGCCAGAGAGGAAAAAACAATGCTAGTTGGTATGAGTTGCAAGAAACTGAGTTCAATGAATTCAGTTTCTTATGTCACAGCGTTGTCAGGTAAATAAAATTAAGTTTCAGAAACAACTAGAAAGGAAAAGCCTAATAAGTTTATATTCTGTCTTTGGATGTTCCTATATGCTAATTGTACTAGTTTTTACACCAATAACTTAAAAAGTAACACCCTGGCAAAATGATGTCAGGTGTTTGGAACTCTGAAACCTAAAGTTATAAGGAAAGAAGACTTACTTGTGCTTTTGAATGTCTTTTACTCCATTTTTCAAGTTCCCTAATCTTTCTGATGGATTGTCCCTAAAAATAAAATAATAGTTTTATTACATCTAATCTTTTCACATTATGATTTTTTTCAAAGATAATGTAGTTGAGATACTTACCTGCATAGTTTTTTAATTAAATTAGCAGCATTTTTGGCAATCTTCTTCGGAAATTCTATCATGTCAATTCCCCTCAGTATGATGTTATAGGTTTTCATAGGATCCGGGCCTGAGAAAGGTGGGCTGCAAGAATGAGAGACATGACAAGAGTTATTATTTTATTTCCTACATGAGAACACTTGAATTGCTATAAACTCCACCGATGACATCAATTCTTATTTGGGGGCTTACATTAATAGTGACAATGGAATGAAAGTAGATTAAGAGCTAAACAGTGTAGAAGTCCTTCCAGGTAAATCACTTAGCAAAACCAGAAATGGGTCAAGTTTATCTGCTGTTCCCTGATTTCTTTTTACTGCTGGAGTCTAATCCCTCATGCTGTCCTTGGTCATTCAAGATGCTTCTTTCACTCTCTGACCTTTTCCACACTTACTGACTCACTCATTATACTTGAGATGAAGTCCTAAGTCATTAGGAGGGGCCACAGGAACACCAACGATACTACCCCCCCCCTCACCTCATGCCATTACCACCCTCACTCACTTGGATCCAGAAACAACAGTGTCTCTCTGTTCCACTGAAATGCTCAGCGCTTTCCTACCTCATGGTGTTATTTATCTGGCCTGAAAGGTTCTCCCCACATATCTGGCCAATGCCTCATTTTATCAAATCTCAGTGAAGTAAGTTTTATGTTGTTTTCTCCAAAAGGCCTACTCTGGTCAACCTAATAAAATCAATTAACCTCTATCAACCCACAAAATCTAACAATCTAATCTTATGCTCAAATTTAAAGTTTTCGTCCCTGTTACACTTTCATAGCACGCTTATGCCACTTATTGTACTTTGTAATTATCTTTTCATTTGTGTAGTTATTTATGTTATGTCTGTCTTCCCTTCCAGAATAGTTTATTTTCTGCTGGTATTCCCAGAGTTGAGTAGTGTTCACAGCACGTACATACTAAGGGGTCAGTAAATATTTATTGATCTAATATTTCTGTAGAATAGTACTCCTTCTATCATTTTCTCTCCGCACAGAGGACCTCATTAGATAACTTAACACTAATCATTATCTTTGTTGGTAAGGATGTAACCCTTCAGTCCTCATGAGGCACATCTGTTGATTTTTTTTTAACCTATCCATCCTTGAAGTGTAGTTTGTGGCAACTTCAGTGAGTACAAAGATGACTAAAGTGAGGTCTTTTCTTCATATTTCTCACAGTTTAGAAGGGAGATGATGGTACACCTTGACAAATGATTTCTTTGAAAATTAGTTATTCTCTTTAATACAGTTTTTGTGTGTCTTTGGGGGAGAAATCTGAATTATTATATTTTTGCCCTTCATGTTCATGTTTATTAAGAGCAGTTCAAATGATTTCTTTTTATCAAGCAGGCTTATGAGTTATTTAAAGTAAGGAGTAGCAGATTTACCTGTGCTAAGGGCTGTGATGGATTCTGCCTTGATTTGTTGTGCAAAGTGCTTTCTATTTACTTTAATATGTTATTAGCTAGTAATTGTCTATCAATTTTACATCACTTAAAAAATATATAAACATGAAAATCTATTTAGTATTGTCTTAGAATTTAAACAGTTTCTCTTTATGTGATCCTATGATTGAATATTCTCTTTATTCTCTAAGTTAACATGCCAGTTTTCATTTTTACTTTAAAAAATGAGAAGGACCCACATCTTTGGGTTTCTGTGTTATAAATGTAATGTTTTCTAATTTATATGTTTGCTTTTATATTTAATTGCTTATCTTAGACAACTAAAATCAATTATTAAAGATGGTTTTTGTGGTTTTTATGTGATGCATGTTAGTCTAATATTCATTCAATATATAAAACAAAATTATTTAGAAGAAAGTCATTCAACACCAAAAAATATTCATAGTAATCAACGTTTGATGAACATATTTTCATAGATTTCTCTATGTGGATTGTAGACAGAATATATTATGCATATTTTAAAATTAAAAATATTCAATTTAAGTTTACTTTAAACTAAGGAGTAAAATGGAAAGAAATGCTAAATTTCAAATACATCCTCCTTAACCAATAATTCCTAAAATATTTCTCTAAAATTAAAAAAAAATTCAGACTGAATTTAGAAATTTCTCTTCTGTAATGACACATTTTAACTGCAGAATATATGTAATATTACTGATTATTAATAATGAGAAATAACTATATCTGTAGTTGTACCTACTTTTACTTCCCACCTTAATTTTTGCTGGTTTTAGTGTTATTTTAAGATTGCCAAAGCCTACAACATTGACATTCTGTTCAATTACCCAAATTTAAATTATTTGATCTAAGTATCAATTAATTAGACTCAAATTTCACCATCAATCTTTTCACTTGTTTCTCTATTCCTGAATGCTTTATTTTGATTCCTCTTTTTGTTGACTTGATTAAACAGTAGTGTTTTTGAGAAAGGCCTGGGTTCCACACTTTACATATTGTGTTTGTATTTGAAGAATAACTTACCTCAGTATAAATTACTTGAGTTATACTTTCTGTGATCCTTAGAACTATATAGTTCTTGATATACTATCTTTTGGTATTATAGATGCTGTAGAGAGGATTGAGGCCAACTGGAACTTTAACTATCTTCACTCTCAATACCACACATGCCAAGTTTTTATAGCACTGATGCCAATAAGACTATTCCTTATTAATGAATTTAGGAGATTCCACATGGACACCCTGTGGTGTTATTATTCTCAATCGGTTTCCCCCTGGTCACTGCAGATCAAAAGGATACACTTAATCAAATCTTTATGCCACGGATTTTCTATTATGTAATTAAATATGTTTTTCTCCTGTTTGTAATATTATATTCATACACATAATTCATGTATTTTTCTATTTCCTTTGACTAATAGCTTCTGTTTCTGAAATCATATCTATATCTTTTTTCTTTTTCCATTATTTTTTCCAAGCCTATCTACTATCTCCCTTGCTGGATTTTTAATTGTTACTATTCAGTTTTCTGAATTTAATTGTTACTATTCTGTTTTCAACATGACTTTCAGTTCTGTAGTGGTCCTTAGCTCTGCTAGTTACTTGTCTTCTTATTTATTAACACTTGCAAATATCTTAAAGGTTACTTTTTAGGGAGATCATGCTTTTGATAGCTTCAAAGAAATTAGAGACAAGAGTTTATCTGAATACTTTCTCCTATTTTCTTTGATTAATTTTCTTGTGTGTTCTTTAGCTGCTTTTACTTTTGAATCCTTCAGTTGACCTAAATGGGCAATATCAGCTCAAACTGATTAAAATAAGAAAAACATTGAACTCGCAAAAGCACATTCCAGAGGTAGGACAAATTCTAGACCTCGTAGAATCTGTGGTTTAAAGACCTGGAGTTTTTCCAGCTTTTCATTCTGCCATACTCAGTATTAGTTTCATAAGGGCTGCTTCCCCTCATAGTTACAGGAAGTCTGCCAGTGGAAATAGGGTCGTATATTCATTCAGTAATTATTCACTGAGTAGCTACTGTAAAAACAAAGAATTCTCCTCCAATAATACATTTTAAAATTATTTCTCTAGGTTATGTACCCAGTCACTAGAGGAATGCCATGAAACTGGAATAGATGAGCTGCATCAAAACTTAAACTGGAGAAAAGATAATTCATCTTTTCCTAAGTTGGTGGGGGAGATGGAGCCTTGAACAAAACCAGTAAGAAAGGACTTGGTGTGTATGCATGGAAGGGAGCTGAGGTTGTGAGAAGGGCAGGGACTGGCCTCTCTGGGACCCTTTCTGACTATTACTTGTCCTTAGATTGGGCCGCCCACCATGAAGAATAGAACAGGAAAGGTTGGAGGGAAGCAGTGAGAAATTCACCAGCCTTCACTACAAGTTTGTTGCCTTCTAACCAGATTATTTATTTCCTTTGCCCTCAATTTAATACATTCAAGGAGGTCATGTGGCTCATACAAAAGCCCCACCACACTCTCTAAAACCTTTAATCACTGGCTTTCTCCCTCTTTTTCACTCCCGGTGGCTTCATTGACCAACATTATAAGGTCTTCCTTCACTTCAGTTCCTCTGTCATTCTGTAGCACTTAAGTAGGTCTCTACATGAACATTCTTTGCGTTTTCAAGGCCCAGCCAGTCCTCTAAATGTTATTATTACTATTGAAGATCATTAGATATCACATTCAGGACCAAAATACATTGGAATCATGCTTGTGGTCCAAGCATCATTCCTAGTCACATGCCACACTTCATAGTGTTTGGCAGGTGTGTTTGGTGGAACTTTTATTGTAACTAAAGATCATCCTCCTTGTTTTATTCTTGCCTTCTCCCACCCCCACCCCAGGCCACCATCTCTCACCACCGCCATCATCTCTTGGGGCACAAAAAGAAATGTAAAGATTTTTTTTTTTTTTTTTTTTTTTTTTTTTTTGAGATGGAGTTTCGCTCTTGTTACCCAGGCTGGAGTGCAATGGCGAGATCTCGGCTCACCGCAACCTCTGCCTCCTGGGTTCAGGCAATTCTCCTGCCTCAGCCTCCCGAGTAGCAGGGATTACAGGCACGCGCCACCATGCCCAGCTAATTTTTTGTATTTTTAGTAGAGACGGGGTTTCACCATGTTGACCAGGATGGACTCGATCTCTCGACCTCATGATCCACCCATCTCGGCCTCCCAAAGTGCTGGGATTACAGGCTTGAGCCACCGCACCTGGCCAAGTAAAGATTTTTTAATGCTGTTATCTTTGACCAAAATTATTTCTGTCTCATTATTTCTTGAAATGGATACAAAGTTTAGGTATTTTTAATCATACATGGTTCAATATATGTATTTATGGTAAAAAAAAAAATAAGTTCTCTAAGTGTTTCGTATATGCACTGAATCCTCATAGAGTACCCTGTGCTGAAAGTCCTAAGTCTTCCTCTCATGTTCACTGTAGTGACCAGGTCCTCTTAAGTAATTCTTCACATCCTGCCTCACACTTACTCTTTCTTACCACTGCCCTTGCCCTGTTCTAGGCTCTCAGTGTCCTAGAACTAAATTGCTGCAATAATATTTGAACTGCCTCCTATTCCTCTTCCAATTTGCTCTATTATGCCAACTTGTTTTTTAAAAATACCACAGCACATATCACTCACTCTTTGTCAGAAAATCACAATGATCCCCTCTGTGGATGGAGTCCAAACACTCAAGTGCAGGAATCGTGATCCTCAAAAGATGACTGTTGCTGATCTCCCATATATATATATGAACCTTCTCCTTATCTGTGCCCATTATTGTCCTTCTCATTAAGCCATGCCTGTCTGCCTGGATTACCCTTTCCTTACTCTCTACATCTAAGTCCTGTTCTTTCTTTAAGACACAGCTGCCTTATATTCATTCTTCAAAAGCCTCTTTATGAGCCCAGCCCTGTCCTGAAATCTGTAGGTCATCATGCTCCTGTCACTTCCTGTTCTTAGCACATGTCATGGTAGTGTATTCATAGTGTTCTTTTAGTATGGGCCCTTGAGGACCTTAAAGTCTGTCTTATACCTTGTGGTATCCCTAGAGCCTATTTGAGTTGATAATTATAGTATTACAGGAAAGAGCTACAAAGCAGTCATGTTTCACTTGTATATAATGGTTGCTAACAGATCCTCTTATTCTATAGAAAATTTATCCTATATATTTTGATATTATTATGGTCTCCTTTGTTTCATTGCTGGCTAAATGACTGGTCTAAAATACCTCACAGAAAGACACTACAACCTTCCACATTCACGTATGTAAAAAAGAAGTAGCAATAATGAGACCAAAAGTTGGTGTTGATGTGCCCTAGCCTAACCTATTTTACACCTTGCTTTATGAATTCCTGGTTATCTGTATAACTAATTGAATTGTGGCACCAAGATATGGTGAAATGTACTTTAAGATGCTCTAATCAGAGCGACAAAAGCAGGAGTGTGTAGCTGTTTGCTGGTCTATTTTTATCAGCAGTTTCCTATCAATATCCATACCTGCCAGTCAGAAGTTCATACATTAGGATTCCCAGTGACCAGTAGTCGGCTGAAATGTCATGGCCTTTGTTCAGGATGATCTCTGGGGCTACATATTCTGGAGTCCCACAGAAAGTCCATGTTTTCTTTCCAAATCCTATTTTCTTTGCAAAGCCAAAATCAACCTTACAAAGAGAGAAAACCAAGATACTTAGGCTGTTTATGATTAAGTTTTAAAGCAGTAAGTTATTTTGCTAAAGTACACCAATGATGAAAAAATGTAAAAACGTGCATGTTTTTATAGTCCTATCTTCTAAAAGGAATAATCTATATTGCCAACAAAGTCTCCCTGATCAAACTCAGTTTTAATGGGAAAAGGTAATACCTGAACACAGCATAAACTTAATATCATTAGAAATAAAGGTAAATCTTTCTTTCTGAATATAAGTTTTCATTTTTCCTTCTTTTATGCTAATGGAGGTTGGGGTATAAACACAGAATCTCTTCTGTACATAAAAATTTTAAAAGACCAGTTGGGCCTACTTAACATCTTTCCCAGAATATACATGATTTCTGCTGGATATAATGAAGTTGACAATTCATTTAGTATTAATTATTTGAAAAGTTATTTTATCGTTGCAGGAAGTAAGTAACATAGTTATGGGACCAATGACTCTGCCCTTGGTAAGCATAAACAGAAATAAAATTATAATATATTCTTCATTTTTCTGAAACTCTTTTGAAGGAAGTCTTGACTGCAGAAAATCTATTTTTTTCTGAAACGATTTGGTTGAAACTACAAATAAAAAACTGCCACTGACTTGATTTATCTAAAAACCACATATTGAATAACAATTCTAAAAAGTTTAAAAATGGATTCAAGCTCTAACAGGACCAAAGAAAGTTGTGCATTTGTAAATAAGAGAACTTCTCTTCTATGGTAAATCTTTACAGCTGTTGACTGTTACCACTATTATTACTATTATGTAGCCTGGCTAGAATTGCCTGTAAAGCACTGGCATTATTCTTAAATCTAAAATATTGAAATGATTTATGGTTTTCCCTAATATAAAAACCCATTACTTATGAATAGCAAAAAACTGACTAGAGAAAAGGAATTCTAGGCCTGTAAACATGTGCCAGCAAGTATGTTTTCTAATGCTTATTAAAGGCATGTTTTGCCAGAGTATTGTTAATTCAAACTTAGCCAACTTAATTTTTCATAACAGATACATCATTTGAAAGAACATTCAGTTGAAAATTTCTATGCCAAAAGCTGCTTTTAAGAAAGTTACAATATTGAAAAGAAAAACTGAGATTTTATATTAGCAAATGAACACAGTTTTATAAACAAGTATTTTTAAACTGCAGGGCAGAAACCATGTGTGAATTGCACTGACCAGTTTGGCATAACCTCGGTGATCTAGGATGAGATTTTCTGGCTTGAGGTCCCTGTAAATGATTCCTTTGGAATGCAGATAGGCAAAAGCTTCTACCACACATGCTGTGTAAAATCTGGTTGTAGAATCTTCAAACGAACCTCTGAGATGCAGAAATGGAATGAAAATTGTATGAAAAATTAGTTTCCCTAATATGGCTTTATGTTCTTCTCATTTCACTATATCCCTTTGTCAAAATTTAAACCAGAGACCACTGTCCTACTGGCTAATTGTTACGATTCCCATTACATTGGGTTTTCTGAAGCATTCGAGGATCAAGTTAAGGAATTCCCTCTTTATGAATGGAATAGTTAAATCTAACTTCCTGAAAGGGCTGAAGCACAATTCAACACAGCACATTTCATGTACTTAGTATCTTCCTCTCAACAGCCCACTACAATCTAAAAAGTCAGAGACTTAACAGCAGTAGGCAGGAGAGAAAAATAATCCTGTTTTAGAGCTTGCCTACCAAGCATTTGTTTTTAAAGGAGAAGTTTATGGGTTTCTTCACATTTATTCTTAGAGGGCTTGTTTTTGAATCTTTCTAAATCATGCAGATATGATTCACAAGAGTGTGAATAAAAGCTACCGTTTTTAAAGAACCACTCTGGAAGTGAGATGTAATGCTACCGATGCAATCATAATGCAAGCTAAGTACTCTTCTGTGTTCAAAACTTCTGCAACCCAAACAATATCTATTTGCGACACTACTGCATTCTTATTAAGGGGAAAAGATGGACTAAAAGACACTTAGAAAGAAAAAGTAACTGTAAGGGAATGTTTATTAGTAAACTTGATTATGATGTTTAGCAAGAAAGCTTTCTCTCTGTCTCATATATACATATGACATATGGGCACATATATGTTTCTTTGTTGACTAAATAAAATTATTTAGAAAAAATCTTGGCATCTAAGGTCAAACCCTTAGTTCTACTGCAGAATGTTTAAACTTTAACTGGTTTTTTTTTTTTTTTTTCATGGAACTTTTTTTTTTGAGACAGAGTCTCACTCAGTCCCCAGGCACCAGGCTCGAGTGCAGTGGCGCGACCTCGGCTCATTGCAACCCCTGCCTCCCGGGTTCAAGCAATTCTCCTGCCTCAGCCTCCCAAGTAGCTGGGACTACAGGCACGTGCCACTACGCCCAGCGAATTTTTTTGTATTTTTAGTGGAGACGGGTTTCACCATGTTGGCCAGGATGGTTTCCATCTCTTGACCTCGAGATCCACCCGCCTCGGCCTCCCAAAGTGCTGGAATTACAGGTGTGAGCCACCGCGCCTGGCCTTCACGGATTGCCTTCTTTTTTTTTTTTTTTTTTTTTTTTTTTTGGGACCAAGTTTCGCTCTTGTTACCCAGGCTGGAGTGCAACGGCAGGATCTTGGCTCACCGCAACCTCCGCCTCCTGGGTTCAGGCAATTCTCCTCATCAGCCTCCCGAGTAGCTGGGACTACTCCCGAGGCACGCACCACCATGCCCAGCTAATTTTTGTATTTTTAGTAGAGGCGTGGTTTCACCTTGTTGACCAGGCTGGTCTCGATCTCCTGACCTCGTGATCCACCTGCCTCGGCCTCCCAAGGAACTTCTTAAAAAAATAAACCATGTTTTTTTTCTTTCCCATGTAGTAAGTATAATTTAATAATTTCATTTCATAATTTGAAAATTGTTAGTGTGAACATCAGCTCCTCAAGTGGTTGAGATGTAACATGAGTGACAAGCACACAAGTGATTTTATTATTAGACAGTCTGCAACAAATGATAGCCCCAGAGCTTATTTTGTAAGTCTCTAATGCCTGGTTGCATTTGGTGACACATTTTTTTTCAGAATTGTGGTGTAAAGTTTAACAAACTGGGCAGTGGAATAGAGTTACATTTTTACAAAATTCATAAGTGAATCCAAGGCTACAGCAACCACTTTTCAGGCTACCTTTCAGAAATAGGTAGTATCTTCCAGAAAGAGAATGTCTTCATTTAAATTAATAATATCACTTAAGTTTTTACTGAAATAATCAGCTTTTCCTAAAAAAAAAATCATTCTTCTGAAACATAATTAATTCTAGGCATAATAATATCTATTCCTCTAGATTCTAGAATCTTAACTGTAATTACCATGATTCTTGAATCTCTCTTGAATAATATCTAAATGGAACACTCGTGAATTTATGAGTACAAGAGAAAGTCTGAGAATTGCATTCATATGAGAAAATGAATGATAAACTTCATGCTACAATTTTCCTCTGACTTGAAGATATCCTTGGCAGAGCTAAAATTCTATAATCATGTGTACTTGGAAAGGAATTACAATATTGCCTTGAAAGTTCTTCCTTCTTTGCCCTTAATTAAGTATGTTTACCTGTCAAGAGGAGCATGTTTCTTTCACTTCAAGAGATTATTTACCATAAAGAGTAAGCATCTGTGTATATATAATTACTATACAGCTTTAGCTACATTGCTGTATGTGAATTCAATCACTCCTCAATGGAGAGCATTGCAAAGCAAAACAAAACAAAACAAAATGAAAGAGTACAGGGAATGGTCTTATTTTATTTCACACTATATGTCTTGCTTTAATCAGCAAATTGATTACTTTTTTATGTCTGTGAGATAGGGGGTGAAACTCAACTCTAGAGGCAGGGCTTGGACATCAGACAAAATTAAGGACTAGCTAAATATGTCCTGGGCAGAAGCACCAACCTATAAGACATGCCCACCGGTGTGCCTTGTCAGTTTACCATTGCCATGGAAACAACCAGACGTTATCACCCATTTCCATGGCAACAACCCGACAACCCAGAACTTAACCACTTTCATTCTAGAAATTCTGCATAAACCACCCCTAATTTGCATATAACTAAAATTAAGCATAAATATGGGTATAAAACTGCCTCTGAGCTGCTACTCTGGGCACACTGCTTATAGGATAGTCCTATAGGCAAGGATGGTCCTATAGGACAAGGAGCAATACCTCTGCTGCTGCTATACACTGCTGCTTCAACAAAAGTTGCTGTTTAACACCACCAGGTTGCCTTGATTCTTTCCTGGATTAAAACACCACGAACTCTCCTGGGCTAAACCTCAATTTTGGGGCTAGCCTGTCCTGCATCATCTGTTTTAATCGGCAAGATGATTACTTCTTTTTTTTTTTAATTATACTTTATGTCCTGGGATAAATGTACAGAATGTGCAGGTTATAACATAGGTATACATGTGCCATGGTGATTTGCTGCACCCATCAACCTGTCATCTACATTACGTATTTCTCCTAATGCTATCCCTCCCCTTGCCCCCTGCCGCACAACGGCCCCAGTGTGTGATGTTCTCCTCCCTGTGCCCATGTGTTCTCATTGTTCAACTCCCACTTATGAGTGAGAACATGCAGTGCTTGATTTTCTGTTCCCGTGTTAGTTTGCTGAGAATGATGGTTTCCAGCTTTATCCATGTCCCTGCAAAGAACATGAACTCATTCTTTTTTGTGGCTAGATAGTATTCCATGGTATATATGTGGCACATTTTCATTATCCAGTCTATCATTGATGGGCATTTGGGTTGGTTCCAAGTCTTTGCTACTGTGAATAGTGCTGTGATAAATATATGTGTTCATGTGTCTTCATAGCAGAATTATTTATAATCCTTTGGGTATATACCCAGTAATGGTATTGCTGGGTCAAATGGTATATCTGGTTCTAGATCCTTGAGGAATTGCCACACTGTCTTCCACAATAGTTGAACTAATATACACTCCCACCAACAGTGTAAAACTGGTCCTATTCTCCACATCCTCTCCATCATCTGTTGTTTCCTGACTTTTTAATATCAATATTCTGACCAGCCTGAGATGGTATCTCACTGTGGTTTTGATTTGCATTTCTCTAATGACCAGTGATGATGAGCTTGTTTTCATGTTTGTTGGCTGCATAAATATCTTCTTTTGAAAAGTATCTGTTCATATCCTTTGCCCACTTTTTGCTTGGGTTGTTTGTTTTTTTGCTTGTAATTTTGTTTAAGTTTCTTGTAGATTCTGGATATTAGCCCTTTGTGAGATGGACAGAATGCAAAAATTTTATCCCATTCTCTAGGTCGCCTGTTCACTCTCTTTACATCAGGACTGCCTAAATGTGATTTGAGTGGGCCTTTCTGAAAGCTTACAAATTCTTGATTACTGTTAGTAGAAGAGAAGATTATTTCTACAGTTGTGACTCTGGGTAGCATATCTCTACTTCCTTAATAGTCAATTGGTAATGGAACCAAATGGACAAATGCACTGAAATGTTGTAATGAGAGTAAATGCTTATGTGAGAGCTCAATTTCTCATGAAATCTCTGCTGAATATTATATTTATATTCTGAATAAGCTGGTCATTAGCAGAAAGATGGAAAAATGCTAATACAAACTGAAGTTCCTGAGAGGAGGCTATATGTTAGAGTATGGTGCCTGAAGCAAGAATCCTGGGCTTAACTCCAGACTCCATTTACTATTTGTTCTTGAGCAACCACCTACACATCTCTGGGTATCTGTGTCCTCATGTGCAAAATGGGGCTAATAGCAGTAGCTATCTCATTGGATTGTTGTGAAGATCCAAAGAATTAATAAGGCATGTATTTAAAATAAGTATCTGGTACACAACTTGGGCTTACTAAACGTAATAATGGCCATTTTGATTCAGCACCAGAAAACTCTTTTTTAGCTATTGTGTCTCAATATAGGAAAATTAACTAACATAGTATAAAACAGCTATGAAGTATTTTCAGGGGGGAGGTGGGGGGTTTGCAACACCAATCATCTCTGTTATTGAAGTGCTTCTGACTGCCAAGGCTAACTGCCACAAATCAACTCTGAAGAATCCTCTGCTAATCTCGGTTCTTTTCACTTCCCCCATGCTTCTCACATGGGCCAAAATTACCCTTTAATTGCCTGCCAATCAAAGCCCTCCCTTTTTTACCAGGAAGTAAACTGACCATAAATTGTACATCTTTGGGTCTTCAGTTCTTGAAAACTCTATTTGTTTCCAGTTTTCTCTGGTCTTGAGCCATTTTGGAACGTGGAGGGTTTTAGAAATCTAGCTTCTATTCCTTCAACACATCTATATTGAGTATCTTTCACATATAAATA